ATTATTATGGTCTGAATTATTAATACTAGTAGTTTATAATACAGTTTTGAAGGTGTTTTATTAATTTTTTTCGTTTTTTTTTTTTTTTGTATTATGTAGGCTACTGTCAGTTGCAAGTGTATTGTAAGTGTCTTCTATGTACTTTGCAGTTGTTGTTTTTTCAGTGTCAAATCCTTGCTTTCGACAATAAATTTAAAAAAGAAAATAAATCAACTCATATTGCGTACACCTCCGCTTTATTTTATATTGCACTGACTTGTATTCTTAATTAAAAACAAGATCATAGAATATTAGTCTACTTTATCGGAAATGGGGAAACTATGAAGATATTAAAAATCCGGAGGAGCTACACAGCAAGAAATCCCAATTCTGTGCTGGTCTAAACTAAGTGTTTTTATTTCCGTTAGTTTATGTTTACATGTGATTCATTATTATGCAGGCCTATAATATTTTAACATATACTTTGCCAGTCCAGAGGACCTGCGATATCAAAAATATTGCAGGTCCTCTGGCATTTCAAGTGGTCATGACCTGTCGGATAGGCAATTTCCCCATGTCTGCTTCATCACTAGGCGTTACTCTGAATCAAGTTTTTAAAAATATTTTTTATTGTGTTAGATGTCTCTCTTCTCCGAAGCATTGCGTGAGCTTTAGTTGAGAATGGCTTCCCTGTCGCAATTTTGAACAAATTTATGCATATTGATGTTATAAATTTTTCCAATGTTCTTCTGCCGAAAAAAAGTTGAATTTATGATTATTCTTTTCTCTAATATAGGTCCAACATAGGTCCAACAGCTTGTCATTTAAACTTTCGGATTATTCTTGATGAACGAATAGATTTCACGTCCATACTGGTCAATGTAGGACACTTTCACGGCACTCTCCGTCATTTCGAGCCCTACAAATCCGTTGAATCGACTAAACATCGTGCTTTCAACGTTCCACTTCTTCACATCGCTGAGGGCAGTAGGGTTTTGGTCGCGAGTTTTCGATCCCGACCCAGAGACGATGTAATCGACGATCTTGCTCGCTGACTTTTTGTGAAGATGCTCCAAATCGTGGTCGTGGCCGCAAATATACAGGGCAACCTTGTATTGCTCCAACAGGGGGCGCACGTTGTCGTACATCCATTGAGTTGAGCTCTTCTTGCCGTGGGAGCCCGATGAAAAGACGGGATGGTGACCCACTACGATTATCCAATCCCCGAGAGATGCCGCCAGTTGGGCCTTGAACCAAGCCATTTGGGTGCGGTCTCCGTCACCGCGGAGGGGATCGGTGTCGATCATGATAAAATGGACCTTCTTCGTCCCCACGTTTTTGTAGAAGGAGTAATACAGGCGCGGCATGAACCATCTTGGTTCTTTCGCAGCAAACATGGTTTGGTATTTGGCGCGCCCGAACATATGGTCGTGGTTTCCTGCGATGACGTACCACGTCTTCTGCAGGGACGGATGGGTGTAGATTTTACGCCACGTGTTTTCAAACTGTGGATCGTCTACTCCGGAAACGCCAATCTCGTAGAAGTTGTCCCCCAGGGCCAGCGTGAATTGGGAGCTGTGGTCCTGGGCCCATTTGCCCAACGTAGCGGCTACGAACTCCTGACTGGAACCCGGCTTGCCCCAGTCACCCAGCGCGACGTAAGTTAATTGGGCGCCTGGAAAGAGATGATGCCATCTAAGGGCGCATTCCCATAGATTTTAGATCGATCTATCCCCGTGGGGAGTCTCACTAGATTACTGTCAGATAATCCGGCTTAAATGTCCGTCCCGCCTACTACAAGCTGTTAGGGGGTAATTAACTTTCGTGCCCGCTCGGCTGACAGCTATTTAGCGTGAACTCCCAGGGAGTTAGGTCGATCTAGTTGGATCGATCTAATCTCTGGAAATGAGGTCTATCAGTTTACTTTGTGTTATCCACTCTTATTCTGAGAAAGCTCCTCTACATTCAACGAAGGAGATCCTTCACACACTATTAAGTGCAAAAAATTTACCAAGTGATTTTTTCATTATCATTGACCTACCTTTTGAAGGTAGGTTGTGCGAGCAGAAATGTATCTAACTGCTTCTTTTGCAAATTGCAACAAATCTTACATCAATCTTGTTCACTAAATCGAGTAAAGCGGGGGAAAACACTTAAGCAACGTTTAGACACAGTCTTGTTCTGTAGCAGAAACGGCAAATCAATCATAAAAAAGGTTGAAAAGGTCGCATCCAGCAGTGATTTTTACAAAACATTTTTGGGCGGTAAGTTCGAGAAGAAGACAGTTTGCTTCCACCCACGCGCTAGATAAAAGGCTCCACTCTAAGCGGTGGGCAAAATGCCCAGTTGGGCGAATTAAATAATGGATAAAATATATTCTACACCGTCTTTAATGTGACCAAGACTTACGGCAGTTAGTTTTTGAACGGATTTTTTAACGGTGCTGGATGCGTCCCTGCATTCTCAATAAACCTACGTACCCGTGAATGGAGCCGAGGTACCTGAAAAATGAAACATCAAGAACATCAGGTAAATTTAATGATTTAGGTGGGGGATACTTTGCTTTTGTTTTGGTATACATATTTATCTTACATCTAGAATAAAGAAAACTAAGTCATTTCGTTTGAAATCATGTTCATTTTTCATCTAATGATTTATTCAAGACAAAATCTAAAATGTGTTGCAAACAAATATATTTGAATAAATAGTATTTTAATCTACGTGAATGACATAAAAGGACGTTAACATCTGGTTAATAATCCCAAGACACGCTTAACAAATAGCACACACAGGGTAAAAAAGCAATAAACAAGCAGAGTAGGCAGCATTTAGCACTCGGGTTCTGCCCCAAAGCTTTAACAGTCGTCGGTTTCACATCCTGGAGTGAAACAGAACACAATTTAGCAAAGTTTACAGGCTTAAAATGACGACCAACTTTTGGCCATAGATTATTTTGTGAAACCGATTTCCATTGGTTAGAGCACTTTTGGTCATAAATTATTTTGTGAAACCGATTTCTATTGGTTAGAGGACTTTCCCCCCAACTTCCTGGGTTCTAATGATGCCCCTCCTCTTTCCTCTACACGTAACGACCCCTCATGCCCGTCCAATAATCCCAAAAGGTCAGTGCGCTTACTGCAACGATTGCAAGAAGTCATTACTACTGGTATCATGAAGGCGCGGTAAAAACGTTTTGGCGATACCTCATATAGACTCTGAGCGCACGCTCGAAGTACTCTGGGAGTTGCCGTTGCCATACCTGAAAATCTTACATAATTATAGCGGTGTTCACAGACCTATGGTATACCGGGTAGACCTTGGCTAGCATGTAGTAATATGCAACTGGTGCGATAGCAGCCCCGATAATAAAAAAAAGACACGATTGTAACTACCGAAGCCACCGTTTCCTAAACCGATGCCAAATAAAACTCACTAGTACTAGTTGCATCGACTTTGTATTTGTAAACCACATTTCTCCAATCTCCTCCGCAAACTTCTGAACGCTCCCCTGGGCATTCCACAAAACATTCCGAGTCAGAAGTTTTGCCATATGTCCCATAAGAATTGCCACAACGACAAGCGAATCTACCAAACAGAATGTCGAAGTGTTAAGAATAAGAACTTCCGTTATAATGTTGAAATAATATGTTCTGTTTTAACGGAACGGTCTCTATAAGAATTTTGTTTTTAATCACCTTTTTAATAGACCATTTTTCTTTGAAAGAAAACTCATTTTGTAATCCAATGGGTTTAAAAACCACTCAGGTATATCTTGTTTAAGTCACGTGGCAATCAATTATACAGAAAAAACGCAACTAACACAAAAACCGTGCCTTTACAGCATGGAGACCAAGGGAAGTTTCACTCACCCACTCTGGATGCCAAAATACTGATAACCCTTACAATGGTCATAACACATTTGTAGGTCCATATTTCTGCTGTCCTCCAGTTTATCACTACTAGGAATGTCTCTTGGTCTCTTATCCTTATAACAGCCCT